GGTGTGCACGCTGCTCCCTGGGCCTGGGGGTGTGGTATGGCAGAGCAGGACCAGGTGCCAGGACCATTCTGGACCCCCAAGCAGCCCACCTTGCATGCAAACCAGGGCAGAAAGAGGATCAGATGGGCCTGGGCATCCCAGGCTGTAGAGAGGGCCCTACAGGCAGCACACATGTCTGGGGGCCCTGCCTGCTCCTCCAGTTCCAGGGAGACCACCCCTCCCCCAACCAGCCCACATGAGATGCCCTGACTGGTCTGGTTTCCCCCCACAGTCTCTGAGACAGAAACCAGCCAGACGAAAAGGGCCCTGGAGGAAGCCAGCAGTGCCAGCAGGTTTCAATCCCATTCTTAGTGGTTCCAGCCCTGGGAGGAGCACAAGCCTGCCCTGGTGAGGGGGCAGCACAGGGCACTAATTTGGTGAGTCCAGAGGATGGGGAGCATCACACCTACAGTGGTGGAGAGTCATCCAGGGGAGGAGAAATTGAGGGGCCTTAAGGGGAGCTGCCAGGACCAGGCAGGTCCCAGATGGACAAGCAGAGGAGCCACCAGGCCTAGCAGACTGAAGAGGTGACCACACAGAAGTGGGACCTGTCCATTGCAGGGACCTCGTCATCATGGCTGGGGTGCAGCTATGCCAGCTGAACGGGTGCCTGGAGCAAGCAGGGCTGGGGGTGAATGGACTCCAGATTCTTGTATACAGTGCTGGGATGGGGGTGCAAGGAACCCAGGGCAGGAGAGCGGAAGGCAATGCTAGGCAGGCCTGCACAGGACTGAGGGGTAGAGAGAGCAGGTGTTCAGTGTAGGAGACAGGGTGGGTCGGGTTCAGCATGGAGGGGTTCCCCAGTGTCCAGAGAGCCCCACTTGGCCACGTGATGCTGGCAGCCATCTCAGGGCAGGGTTGGTGGCAGTATTCCCGAGGGTGACCACCCATGGGTTCAGCCAGGGATGAGGACAGTAGGGGCAGAGAAGGTGTTCCTCTGGACAAATGCTAGCACAAGTGACCTGACACAGGGATGGGGGACAAGACGGGGTCCACAGGAATAGACATGGAGCTGTGAGATCCAGCCGTGGTGGAAGGTCAGTGCTCGCCTTGGTACTCGGGAGCTCAGGGGCTGGCACTCAGCTGGGGGGAGTTGGCATGGCAAGGAGTGACCTGGCAGGGACTGGAGGAACTCAGCTGGCAGGGAGCAGGGAAAGGATGGGGGACTCAAGGCATTGCAGTGGGAGGGATGGTACAAGCAGTGATCTGGAAAGTCTCTTTGGAAGCTCAGATAGAGACTGGAAACTGGGGGCAGGAAGTTAGGGGCTGGGAGCTGACACCTGGGTGCTGGGTGCTGGGTGCTGAAAGCAGGGAGCTGGGAGCTATGTGTGGGGAGCCAGGGCGGATCTTGGAAGCTTGGTGCTAGGTGCTTGGAGCTGCGAATTGGGATGTGATGTGGGGTGTAAAAGCTGGGTGCAGTCATTGGAAACCTGGGAGCTAGGAGCAGTGTTCTGAAAGTTGAATGCTGGGTGCTAAAAGCTGGATGCTGAGAGCTAAAAGTGGGAAACTCAAAGCTGGGTGCTGGCAGCAGAAAGCTGGGACATAAAGCTGGGACAGAGGTGCTGGGAGCTAAAAGCTGGGTTCTGGTAGCTGGTAGCTGGAAGCTAAAGCTGGGTGCTGGGTGCTGGGACCTGAATGCTGAAAGCTGAAAGTTTGGAGCTAAAAGCTGGGTATTGGATGATGGGTGCTGGGAGCTCAAAGCTGGGTGCTGGGTGCCAGGAGCTGGGTGCTAGGTTTTGAGAGCTGAATGCTTGGAGCTAAAACTGGATGCTGGGTGCTGGGAGCTGGATGTTGAAGCTGAAAATAGGGTGCTGGGAGATGAAAACTGGGTGCTAAAAGCTGGGTGCTGGCAGAAGAAAGCTGGCTGCTCGGGACCAGTGGATGGATGCTGAGGGTTGCCAGTTCGGATCTGGGTCTGGGTCCCGAGTGCTGGGAGCTGAGAACTGGTACTGGGTGCTGGTGGCTGAGAAGTGGGAGCTGTGATGTGGGCACTAAGTGCTAAGCCTGGGCGCTGAGGGATAAGAGCTGAGAGCTGGGGTCAGTGGGATGGGTGCTGAGAGTCAGGGTGAACACTGTAGCTGGGTGCTGAGAGCTGGATGCTGGAGCTCTGGGGCTGAGTGGAGGGTCCCGGGTGATGGGAGGTGTGCATTGGGAACTGGGCACTGGAGAATGAATGCTGGGGACTGGCAGGTACTTGCTAGTAGCAGGGAGCTGGGTGCTGGATGTTGAAAGTGGGTACTAGTGTCTGGGGGCTGACTGCCAGGTGTTAGGAGCTGGAGGTGGGTGCTGAGAGCTAAAAGCTGTGTGGGAGCTTCAGGAATCAGTGCTGGGCAATGGGCATGGGATCTGGGTGCTGGGTGCTGGGGGATGGGAACTAGGAGCAGAAGGCAGTGAGAGAATGCTGGGAGCTGAGAAGCAGGCATGAAGTCTGGGTGGTGGGTGCTGGTTGCCGGGTGTGTGGTCCTGGAGGCTGGGATCTGGAGCTGGATTGTGTGAGTTGTGAGCTGGGAACTAGTAGCTAACAGTTCTGGTGGCACAGTGTGCTGCTAACTGCAAGGTTAGCAGTTCAAAACTACCAGCCCTGCCAAGGCAGAAGGATGATGCTGTCTACTCCATGCAAATGAACATTCTCACAAACCCAGAGTGCTGGTTTTACTCAGTCCTAGAGGGCTGCTATGAGCTGGTGTCGGCCCAGTGACAGGGAGGGAGAGAGCTATGTGCTGGGTGCTGAAGCTGGGGCATGAGTGTAATGGCTGAGGGCTAGAGGATGGGTGCTAAAGCTGTGAACTAGGGGCTGGGAGCTCAGGCATGGGAGTTTGAGCTGGGCTCTGGGAGCTGGTATCTCATAGCTGAGGGCTAGGGGCTAGGTGCTGGGTGCTGAAGTGGTGAACTAGGGGCTGGGAGCTTGGACATGGGAGTTTAAACTGTGCTCTGGGAGGTGGTATCTCATAGCTGAGGGCTAGGGGCTGGGTGCTGAGGCTGGGTGCTAGGAGCTGGGACCTGGGAGCTGAGACATGGGAGTAATAACTGAGGGCTAGGGGCTGGGTGCTAAAGCTGAGCTGTGAACTAGGGGCTTGGAACTCAGGCTTGGGAGTTTAAACTGTGCTCTGGGAGGTGGTATCTCATAGCTGAGGGCTAGGGGCTGGGTGCTGAAGCTGTGAACTAGGGGCTGAGAGCTGGGGCGTGGGAGTGTGAGCCTTGCTCTTGGAGCTATCAGATAGCTGAGGACCAGGGGCTGGGTGCGGGTGCTCAAAGCTGGGTCCTGGGAGCTGGCCGGTGGAGCGAGCCTCCAGGGACATGGGCTGAGATCTGGGACAGCTGTATGCAGACCAGAGAATAAAAGGGAGGTTCATGGTGGGTTACTGGGGGATAGAAAGGGGTGAGCTACATGTTGAGAGGTCGAAGTAGAGGCTGAAAGGTGAGAACTAGGGGTCTGTGAGTACAAGCCAGGGGCAGTTGGCAGAGAATTAAGGACTAAGAGGAGGGACTGGGAATTAGAGGCCTTGGGCTGAGTTTTGGGGGCTAGAAGTGTGATTTAGGCACTGAGTAGGTATTGGGTGTAGGCACTGGGGCAGGGATCTAGGGTGGAGGCCTGCTGCTCCCACTGAGGAAATGAGGCCTTAACAACTAAGCAGAGGAGAGGAGAGGAGAATATCCTGGAAGCCCAGGGACAGGCTCAGTGCTGGGAAGTAAGGGCATGGGGCAGGGGAGGAGGGGAATGGCAGCTCTGAACTGGTGGCAGTGCCATGGGCCTGAAGCTAGAGTCAAGGTCTGGTCACAGGGAGCTGCAGGGCACCTCAGAGGGCAGGAGGCTGGGAGGCTCAGGGTCCTGCAGGACCAGGATCCAAGATGCTGGGGGGGAGGTGGGCACCGTAGGCTGAGCATGTCAGGAGACACCTGGTCTGCACTGACTGAAGGGCAGCAGGGAGCAGAGGCTGGAGGTGGCCCTGGCAGGAGCAATGGGCCTGGTGGGAGGGGGTAGCTGGTACAGAGAGGGGACATGGTGGCAGGGGCCCCTGTGCTGTGGGGGGGGAAGTCAGAGGCTCTTCCAGAGTGCTGGGCTTTATGTCAAGGGAATGCTGCCAGAAGGTGGGGCAGGAGAACTCAGCAAGGAAAGGTTGGGGCAGAGAGACTCACCAGCAGGGCCAAGGTCTCAGACCTGAGTAGTTGAAGCGCTATTTTCTTCCTCCAGCTGAGGTTCCTGCTCAGAGCACCAGCACCACTGAGGAGGTTACTGGGCAGGGACAGGCTCCTGCAGGGGAGGTGGGGGGGGGGTGAGGCAGCCCGCCCCATGCACACAGGGCCATCCTCAGCCTGCACTGGTGGCCCGGGAGGCAGGAGAGCTGAGGAGGGGACAGGCTCCGGGACTGACTCTAGGTCTTGGAGCTAGGAGGAGCTGGAGCCAGATAGAAGGGAAGGCTGGGTCTCCTGAGGGTCTGCCAGGAGCTGGACAGGGGCCAGGGAAGACAGGAAAGCCACAGTGGGCCTAACTAGGCACAAGATCAAGGCCAGGGAGAGCCAGGAGCTCAAGACTCAGAGAAGCAGGAGACTGGGCCAGGCTTGGCAGGGGATCTGGCTTGGTCTGAGGAGGTCGGTGAATGGGCAGAGACTGCCATGCCCACAGGGCAGGGAGGGAGCCGGCCGGCAGGACCTTCCCTGACACTGGCCCTGCGAAGGCTTCCCTCCTGTTGGGTCAATAGGGGGACTCATGGAGAACCGATCTGAGAAATTCAAGAGAAGGGCCCCAAGGTCGCTCCAGACAGAGAGAACGGGACTGGAGTCCAGGCAGAAAGCATGGCCAAGGCTAGCACACCCCAAAACAAGGCCTGGCTGTGGGAGGAGGGCCAACCACGGGCATTGGCACAGGGATGACAGAGAACGTGACTAGAGCAGGGATGGCATCCAGGGAGGATACCAGACCTGGTGTGGCATCAGGGCAAGAATAGAAACTGGGGCCACTCATGTCTGAAGCCAGTAGGTGAGCAGAGTGGGAGGGGCCCTGGGGGCTGGGACACCCCCAGGCGGAGCCAGTACAGGTGACTCCCAGAGGGCTGGCTTGGGGTTCCAAGCTGAGCCAGAGGCCCTGGGTATGAAGTGAGCCCAGAGTCACAAGAGGTGATCCTGGAAGCAGGTAGCCCCAGAGCTACTCCAGTGTGGGCTCATCATGGGGCCTGTGGGGGCGGGGGCTCTAAGGTGGAATTGGACAGCTCGGCTGGTGTGTTCCTCCACTGTGACCGTCAGGTGTGCTCCCTTGGTGCCCATCAGCACAGAAGTGGGGCCTCGTGGGAAGGCAGACCAACTTGGTGGGAGCACATGGTCATGTGGGACCCCCTCTTTTTCAGACAGCCCCAAAGCACCATCCGTCTATCCCTTGACACCCAATTCCAGAGATGCATCTGACTCCATGGTGACCTTGGGCTGCATGGTCAAGGACTTCTTCCCAGAGATGGTGGCAGTATCCTGGCCCTCTGTCCCCCAGGCTGATGTGCACACCTTCACACCCATGCGGCATTCGTCTGGCTACTACTCCCTTATCAGCATGGTCACCATGCCATCTAGCAGCTGGCCCAGCCAGGATTATGCCTGCAGTGTCACCCACACGCCCAGTGAGACCAAAGTGGACAAGAAGATCGGTGAGCCTTGGGCAGGGGCACAAGTGAGGAACCACATCCCAAATCCACAGCTGACAGG